ATGACAGTAATGTCCACACGCTCACGTTACAGATAGGTTAAGTGAACGTCCCATAGGTCGGTACCAGGTTCCTGATGACGGAGCTGGAACGTGACCTCCCCACACCTCCCAGGCTCGCTGTCTTCAGACACCCCGATCCACGTTCCCGTCGCCACCTCGGACCGGAGCCCCCGTCCTGGGACATCTGGAACCGGCTTCTGCACACCCGGCAGCGCCCGCCCGCCTTCCAGCAGCGCCGTCCTCTGACGGAACCGTCTGGAAACGTCTGGAAACCGCAGCCCGGGCGCCCCTTCCCCGGCCCGGCCCAGGTCCGCGCTCGCGCCGCACATCAGGCCCCGCGCGCCCGAGGTCCGCGGCGCTCCTGCCCTCAAGTGCCGGGACACCGTCCCGCTCCCCAGGGCCCCCGAGGTCCGCGGGCTCCTCTTTCACCCCCGCACCCACCTTCAGGGACGCACAATCCAACCGCAGGATCTGAAGAGCAGCGTAGCGGACAACAGAAACGTCCGGAATCTCCACAAAAGTTGGCGGAGTGCTCGGAATCGCACATGCGCAGAAGAAACCCGGAAAATCCTGTCCCAAAGTACTCCTGCAGGGTGACGTCATTGCAAGGCAAAACTACCTTTCCCAGAAAGCGAGGGGAGCGAAGATGCACATGCGCAGAAGAAATGCACAAAGACCATTTTCTATAGTCCTGTGCCTGCGACGTTATGGTCAGTGAGACTACATTTCGGAATACTCTGGGCTCCTACGTTAGGAACCAAACAAGAAAAATTTTTAAATTTTCCCTGCACGGAGTACTGTTACCGGAAGATCAGGTCTTGTTGGATCAAGACTGGTCTCCAACCAGGCAATAGACTAGTCTCTAGTCCATAGATGTGGAATTCTGATTTTTTAGTAGATGTTAGTTTGACAACCTGAGACATTGTGGCAATAATGGGGAAATTCAAAGGGGGTCCCGGTATAGCTGTTATAGACCCATGTCTATTTTTAAACATACATTTTAAAGTTTGAAAAAATCATATTTCTATTTAATTTTAAATGTGTAAAAACAAATTGACACGGCAATTTTCTTTCAAAACAGTAAGAGATGTTTGTTCACATCCAGTAAACTAATTTGTGAGTCTCAATGCACTGTATTAGGTAGTTAGAAAAACTGCTGCAGTATGTGTAGTGACATGAAATAGCAGGGTCATAGGGTAGTTGCATTTCTTAGTCCTTGTCCCAATTTACAGTTGCGATGTGTGATAATTAATTGCCCAGAAATTCCCATGTTCCATTAAGCCATCTGTCCATTTATTAAATCAAATTTTAGTACTTTAGGGTGTGTGTGTGTGTGTGTGTGTGTGTGTGTGTGTGTGTGGTGGACATGAACTTTGCCTTTTCTTCTCTGGTTTCTGCAGCAAAACAGGCAGAAGATGTTTACACGGGTTTATCAAAGTTTCTGCTATGTTGAAGTTCCTCTTAAAACAGAAAGTAGGGCTGGCTGGTTAGCTCACTTGGGAGTATGTGGTGCTGATAACACAAACATCAAGAGCTCAGATCCCATTATTGGCCAGCTATCAAACAAACAAAAAACACACAAAAAGCAAAAATTTCTAGCTTTTGTAATCAGAGTGGATACTGGCTTGAGTGTTAGAATGTAGGGCAGAGTAAAAGAACGGTGAACATAGGGGCGGTGGATGGGATGTGTGAGAGGCTGAGGTCATGCCTAAAACCTATCCCTGGTTTTCTCTTTTCCTAATGTATTTCCTCCCTTATTCAAATTACTGTCTTTTCCTCGATTCTTCAACTTCTCCTCAGTGATTCTAATTGCGGATCCAGAGAACTCAGCCTTGATCTTCCCACAGCCTTCTTGTCTCAGACTTTAGAATCTATAGACTTCAATCCCATTGAACTCCTAAATCCCGTGCCTCTCTTAAACACTTATTGGTAAGGGATGTGGGAATCCTTTAAAAACAAGATGATTGGCAGGGATTGGGTGGTGGGAGTCGCTGCCTGATCTTTCACACTCTGGATACAGTTTGTCACTCCCTCTCTTTGTATGTCTGCTTCCTGTCCATAAAAATGGAGACAGTAATACACATTTGGATGTGCAGCCCTCACCCTGAGCCCACCTCTATTAACATAAAGGCCAATAATGCAATCCCTTTACTTCCCCTATGAAGGTAAAGTTCTCTCCTCCAAGGAGAGGAGGCCCAGGGATGATACCTAAGTGTTTCCACACTAGCCATGTGTTGTAGCTTTACCTGTTCAAGTATACACTTCTACTGTTAAACTTATTTCTAAGAATTTTATTTTGATTCTATTGTAACTAGAATTGTTTCTTCAATTTTATATTTCTATTATTTATTTTTGTGTACGCAGTGATTTTTGTATATTGATTTGTGTTTTGTTACTTTTCAGAACTCTGTTTTTCATTAATTCCTTATGGTTTTCTACATACAAAAACATGTCAACTGAAAATACAGAAAATCATACTTTCTTTCCGATCTAGATTCCTTTTATTTACTTGTCACCAGTTTTTCTGTCTAGTAAAATGATGAAAAGATGCGGTGAGAGTGGATCCTTTATCTTGCTCCTAATCTTAGAAAATAAACATATGAACTTTCACCGTTAAAAACAGTCTGAGCAGCAGGTTTTTCATATGCTCTTCATCAGTTTGAGGATGTTCCCTTCTTTTCCTACTTTGTTGAATGTTTTCTTCATAGAAGGATGTTGGGCTTTGTCAAATTTGTCCATCTGTCGAAATGTCGTGTGGTTTTATTTGATATAGTGTATCATAATATGTAATTTTTTCTGTTAACCAAACATGTAGTCCTGGGATATATGAAACATTGATGCAGGGTATAATTATTTTTATATGTTGCTTGAGTCTATTTACTTTTCTGGTTTTACCTAATTCCGCAACAATAGTCATAAGATACATTCTTCTGAATTTTTCTTTGCTTGTAATGTCTTTGTAGAATCTCGGTATCATGGTAATACTGATGCAGGCAATGAGTGGAAAAGCAGCTCTATAACATCTGTCTTGGGGAGAATTTGGGAACAGTTGATGGTAAATCTCCAAATATTTTATAGTATTTCTAATTAAAGTTTCTGGACATGATCTTTTCTTGGTATGTAGTGGTTTTTCATTGTTAATACAATCACTTCACCTGTACTAGGTGTATTATGATTATTTATTTTTTTTGACTCAGATTTTGCAGTTTTTTTCTAGGAATTTGTCCATTTCGTGCACATTATCTACTATATTAACATGCCTTTCTTCATATTATTCTTTCATAAATAGTTTTATGTGTGAGGATGGTAGTAATGTCTCCTCTTTAATTTCTAAATTTAGTTATTTGTGTCTTCTGTATCTCTATCTCTCTCTGGTCTAGCTAAGGAGTTGTCAGTTTCTTTAATCTCTCATGATCTTCATTTTGGTGTTCTATTCTTTTTTTCTTTTCTCATTGTCTATTTCATTGATATCTCCTGCAACCTTGATTCATTTTTTCCTTCTGCTTACTTTACATTTCACTTGCTCTTCCTCTTTCAGTGTCTTCACATGTAAGTTTAGATTACTGACTTGAGATCATTCCTTTTTAATATAAATATCTACATCTATAGACTTTCCTCTAAGCTTTGCTTTAATTATCTTCCAAATTTTGTACATTGTATTTTCATTTTCAGTTATATTAGTATATTTTCTAATGTCCCTTTTTATTTATTTGACCCATTTGTGATTGTGGAGCATGTTGTTTACTTCTGATAAATNGTCAAATTTGTCCATCTATTGAAATGTCGTGTGGTTTTGTTTATTATTTTATTGATGTAGTATATCATAATATGTAATTTTTTCTGTTAACCAAACATGTAGTCCTGGGATACATGAAATATTGACGCAGGGTATAATTATTTTTATATGTTGCTTGATTCTATTTACTTTTCTGATTTTACCCAATTTTGCAACAATAGTCATAAGATACATTCTTCTGAATTTTTCTTTGCTTGTAATGTCTTTGTACAATCTTGGTATCATGGTAATACTGATGCAGGCAATGAGCAGAAAAGCAGCTCTTCAACATCTGTCTTGGGGAGAATTTGGGAACAGTTGATGGTAAATCTCCAAATATTTGATAGTATTTCTAATTAAAGTTTATGGACATGATCTTTTCTTGGTATGTAGTGGGTTTTCATTGTTAATACAATCACTTCACCTGTACTAGGTGTATTATGATTATTTATATTTTGACTCAGATTTTGCAGTTTGTTTCTAGGAATTTGTCCATTTCAGGTACATTATCTACTATATTAACATGCCATTCTGCATATTATTCTTTTGTAAATAGTTTTATGTGGGAGGATGGTAGTAATGTCTCCTCTTTAATTTCTAAATTTAGTTATTTGTGTCTTCTGTATCNTCTGATAAATATATTTTTAATTGAAATGTAATGTAAAATAATATATCAGACAGTATCACACTCTGTAAATTTAAGTTCTTCATGTGTGATAATGTGCTTCAATTGTTCAAGGCTGTACTGCTGTAATATGAAATGTATTTCTTACTATGGGCTGAATTTCAAAAATATCTGAAAACCACAAGTTATTCTTAGTCAGTGCTTATGCCTTTGAAATGTGTTCACCAAGTTGCCACTTTCTTGTAATGTGGTCATCACACAAATCTGCCTGTAAGAAGAAAAGTCTTATTTCCTACTGTGCTTGCATGTGTGCATGCATGCATGCATGTGTGCGTGTTTATGTGTGTGTGTGTGGGAGAGAGAGAGAGAGAGAGAGAGAGAGAGAGAGAGAGAGAGAGAAAGACTCTCTTCTATGCCATACTGCAGTTGCCCACTGCTCCTTGGCCACAGGCCTAAAATAAAAATCTCAGCCAAAATGCACCAGAATGCATTATTCAAATAGAATTGGGGGAGTGGGGTCACCATGAGTAAATGTTGACAATAAGGTGAAAGTGAGTGGAGCCTCAGGTGCCAGAGAGTGCAAGGCACTAGGGTTATTCAGATGCATCACAGAAGCGCTGGATTCACCCTTATCAGGAGCTCTCCATTCTCTCTTTCTCAGAACTCTTTCTTTCATCACCTACACCCCTACCTCTTAATGCCTCTCCTTTTAAGAACTAAACGTTTTCTCCCTCTCTGACTTATCTACTCCCATGCAGTATGAATGAGGCATTGGGGCTCCAGGACCTGCAGGCTGTGATCAGAACACATTGAAAGTGAACTATTACTCATTTACTGTTTCTTTCTTCTCACTTTTGGTTTGTGGACTTTCTCCCATCACTTCATTCCCACATTCAGTTCTTCCTCCTATTCCTCCTCATTATTTGTCTCACAGGCTGGTGGAGGAAGTAAGTCTTGAAGATCACCTGACAACAGACAGAATAAAAGGTTTACCAAAAAGATAAGAAAAAAATAGTGATACAGCAGACGTTAGAATTTCAGGGTCCTTTTACATTGAGCCAACCCCCTTCCTGCTTTTGCAGTTATTCACAGCCCCAATGGGACTGCTCCCCTGGCTGCCTGCCC